CTCATAGCCATAAGATGGCGGCATCCAGTCCTCTCAGCCCTGCTGGAGTCCCCTAGTCCCAGAGTGGGGGCAGCTGCAGAGAGCAGGCAGCATGAGCAGCCTGGCAGAATGCTTGCTTCGTCACCATGACGATGAGGCAAGTGTTCCTTGCCCAGCCACTGATGGGCCTCTGGGCCAAGGAGAGCCTCTGGGCAGTGAGCGCCGAGCAGCCAGGCCCCACAGAGAGCCACTGGTGCATGGATTCGTGTGCAGGGCTACTAGTTTAAAAATATTTAGGTTTGGGAACAGAGACTTTTTTTTTTTTTAAATCATAACAAAAGCAGTAATGCTTTATTTGAATAAGATTACACATATGTAAAATAGACTATGTTAAAAGAATAAAACCATGTTATAAGGGGAAAAAAAAGTTTAGTAAGGTAGCAACTTGACATATAAATCCTAACACACTGACCTAATTAGGAAGCGAAGAGGTGCCCTGTGCTCAGGACTCCAGCTCTCTGATTGGTGCCCACATTCACCATGCAGACATGCATTCCGCAGGTGCACACTGAGGGTCTCTGGGCCACAGGCTATGCCACAAGCACTGAAGATTCAGGGGTAAACAAAGCAGAGCCAGACCAGGGTTTTCTCTGCATCCCAGTTTCCTGAAATTTCATGATTATACTAGTAAAAACATTTGGAATAAGTATTTTCTCATTCATTATTTTAGGATTTGGCTGGCTTTTTATTTTACTTGTATCCACATGTTCTCAAGCTCTGGACCCTTTCTTTTATTATTCCCAGATAATTATATCTCTTGATATTCCCTATCCCTCCCCCCCGCTCCCCCCCCACTCTTTTTGGAGCTCATTGATCAGGAAATTAATTGCTTGAATTGATTATACAAATATTAGATTTTTTTCCCCTTAAGTTTCCTTTTTTTTTTTTTTTTTTTTTTTTTTTTTTGTGGCTTTGGGGAGGAGGTTTTTACTAAATTCCTCCAAAGAAAGTTTTTTAAACATTTATTTAAAATTTTTAAATTCATATGTTTAATTCAAGAATGTTTTGTTTGTTTCACTATTGTTCCCTTTATAACATCTTGGCATTGTTTTACTGGTGCGTTTTCTTTTGCACTTGAAAGATATTGAATTCATAATTATTTTAAAAATTTTAAAAATAATATTTACCCCTAACCATTTTGCTTAGTGAATAGAGCGTTGGCCTGTGGACTGAAGGGTCCCAGGTTTGATTTCAGTCAAGGGCATGTACCTTGGTTGTGGGCACATCCTCAGTAGGAAGTGTGCAAGAGGTAGCTGAATCGATGTTTCTCTCTTATCGATGTTTCTAAACTCTCTATCCCTCTCCTTTCCTCTGTAAAAGATCAATAAAATACATTAAAAAATAAAATGTATTGAAATTTTTAATTTCTTTTCTTTGTATTATATATTTTTTCTTTATTGATTAAGGTATTACATATGTGTCCTTATCCTCCCGTTTCCTCCCCACCCCCTCCCACTCATGACCTCACCTCCCTGGTGACTGTGTCCATTGAACAGAGACTTTTCTAAAGCAGGCAAGGGATCCGTGGGACTATTTGGAGTTTTGGGCATAGAGTTTAAGTGTTAGGCTAGCTGCTAAGTGGGCACAAAGCTTGCCCCTTGTCCATGCAAGTTATGGTGATTGCTATACAATTTTAAGTTAACAAGTTTTGAACAATCACTAATTTCACCAATGAAAAATTATTTCTAATATACCTTATAATTATTAATTGAACTTTCTGGTGAAAATTTTAATAAAGGTATCTGATGCTGCTTATCAGCCATATCTGGAATGATTGTTCCTGACCAGTATTATTCAAATATTAATTAATCACTCTTAATGAAATATTAAAGTGTAGAAACATTTATCACAGTATTTATACTGAAGTTTTAAAAAGTTAATTCCTACCGAAACCGGTTTGGCTCAGTGGATAGAGCATCAGCCTTTGGACTGAAAGGTCCCAGGTTCGATTCTGGTCAAGGGCATGTACTTTGGTTGAGGGCACATCCCCAATAGGGGTATGCAAGAGGCAGCTGATCAATGATTCTCTCTCATCATTGATGTTTCTATCCCTCTATCCTTCCTTTCTCTCTCTGAAATAAATAAATCATATATATATGAAAAAAGTTATTTAAAAAAATGTATTTTATTGATTTTTTTACAGAGAGGAAGGGAGAGGGATAGAGAGCTATGAAATATCAATGAGAGAGAAACATCGACCAGCTGCCTCTTGCACACACCCCACCGGGAATGTTTCTGCAAACTCGGGACCTTTCAGTCTGCAGACCACCGCTCTACCACTGAACCAAACCGGTTTTGGTGAAAAAAAAAAAGTTAATTCTTGTGCTTGGGTATGAGTTGAAAATGTATATTCATACAAAAACATTTACAGCAGTTTTATTTATAATTGCCAAAAATTGGAAATAGCTAAGATATTTTTCAGTAGGTGAATAGATAAATTAACTTTTCTATCCATAGAGTGATATATGCACTAAAAAGAACCACATAAGCACTAAAAAGAAATAAACTACCAAATTATGAAAAGACACAGAGGAATCTTAAATGCATTTTACCAAGTGAAGGAGGCCAACCTGAGAAGGCTATATACTGTCTGATTGTATCTGTATGACATTCTGGAAAAGGAGAATGGAGACAGTGAGAGGAAGCATGGTTGTCAGGGTTTGGGGGAAGGAGGGATAAGTAGGCAGCATATAGGATTTTTAAGGAAGCGAAATTATTCTGAATGACAGTATTATGGTATCTACATGTCATTATACCTTTTTGCAAACACATATACAATATAACACCATAAGGTAACTCTAATGTCACCTGTGGGCTTTGGGTGATAATGACATGCTCTCCTGGAACAATGTTGGTTTTCTTGGAGAAAGAAGTAACATAATAGAGGAATATTGGGAGAGCAGAAAAAATGAGTAAGACATAGTGTTAGCCCTTAAATAAACTGAATCCTAATACAGGGGACCCAGATCAGCTGGTGGGACAGGACAGAAGTGGGTGTGAATGTGAACACAAAAGAGCCAGTTTTCTTTCAGTGGGAGAAGTGGGCTGCTTCCAGATGGACCGAGCAGCACCTGAGATGACATTTGAAGGAGAAATAAATACAATGCAAGGGCATCCACTACAAAGGGTGTGTGTGTGTGTGTGTGTGTGTGTGTGTGTGTGTGGCAGGGGCATGCTTGTAGCCTCGTTTTTTATATCTCTAGCTCCTGAGATTTTTCACAATCATGGGTGAGGGGCAGAGGAAGTCAGTGGGGGAGGAGAGGGGGCACCTGCAATACTTTCAACAATAAAGATAAATAATAAAAAGAGAATGGACAAGAAGAGTAGAAAAGTCAACACTGTCTGTCTGGCTGCAGCTTTGGGTTTTGACTATTATGTCAGAATATGTTAAAAATCCTCATGCTTATTTTTGTGTTTAAATAATGGAATTGCAGTGAAACAAGCTTCAGTACCACCTTTCATTTGTAAACTTGAATATTACCATTATGTTTAAGTAATGTTTCCATGTGAACGGTGAAAGTATTTCTTGAGACTTGTTAATAAGTAAACCATTTATATTTGAATTAAGAAGTACCTCAGCATGTTATCTCTGCCTATGAGCATTTGAAGAGATTATAAATTAAATCAAAGGATAGTTTACTGCTAATTCCCAGCCTAATATGCTTTCTTTCTCTATCTTTTCAAGTACACACAAATTGGAAAGTACAGATTGTATGGCTCAGTAGCCAAATCTCTGGGATTATTTCGGAGCGAAACAAGTATTTACTCTGCACCGTGTGGTTGTAGAAGGTTAACTTATGTCGTGTTGTCCTTTGGGGTTAAGTGTCTTACTTCCTGCTCAAAACGTGCCAGCATCAGTGTCCCCTTACTTTAGATATTCACAAAAATTTCCTGAAAATACTTGTGCTATGGATGTGGTTTTTAAAGTTAAAGTCCTTGATGAGTAATAGTACTCCAGTAGTAAGTAAACAGCAAATCACTTCCCTGTGAAAAGTGAAAGGTGAATAGATAAATTAACTTTTATGCTAGTGGTGTGTTTTAAGAGATCAGAAGCCAGCTCTTGGGGCAGCACCACCTTTTCTGGACACTTCAGCAGACACGGGTCCCTTGCTAAAGGGGCAGGAAGCCCTTATTCTGTTTTTAGTAACGATGGGTGGAAATAGGATGGTATCAGGAGGTTTAGCTTGACCTGTGAATTCAGGTTTTTCAGAACACCGTGATTCCCATAGCTGCTTTCTCTACCCCCCATTCCTACCCAAACAGAAGTGCCTGGGTGGAATAGCAAACTATTTTCTTGAGGGACTAAGCTCCCTGTCTTTGAGAAACACAGTTTTCTGACCCAAAAATTCACTTTCCCCCCCAATAGCTGTTTTACTGTCAATTGGAACTTCATTTCTATTGCTTACAGGGAGAATGAACATGTTTTACTAAATGACTTGAAATTTCAGCTGATGTTTCAAATGAGTAAGCATCTGTTCTTTAATATTGCCCCCTTAAATGTGAGACTCAAATCTCTACATTACATGGTTGTGTATCCAGTTTAACATAAGAAACCATTGATAAGAATACATTTAACGAGGCTGTGATTTCCATGTTACTGCAACAAGCAAAGTGTCACATCTTTACCAGTTACAAGAAAGAGACATGATTAAGCTTTTAATAAGAACTTTTTTTTTTCTTTTCAGTAAATCCACAGTGTCTACGACCTATAATATGGGTTAACATTGCACAGCCAAAGGTGTTTTCATGCAAACATTACAAAGAGCAACATGACATTAAAAATATACAGAGACTGGGCCTTTTTGCATACCCCAAATCATACAACTTGAATTTATTTATACAATAGATATTCTCAACCAATACCCTCCACAGAAGAAGCTGTCACGGAAGCACCCTGCTCAGGTTCCATAAGAATGAAAAAGTCTCCTGTGCATGTTTTCAGCATCTCTTCTGCCCCCCATTTAATATCTGCTGGACAAGTCACAAAGACTTCCCAGAGGGTAGCAGCAGATGATCTCTCTGAAGGTTTTCCTCAGCTCTTGGCTCCGGAGTGCATAAATGAGAGGGTCAATGATGGAGTTACACATGATCAGGATGAGGTACAAGTTAAAGTGAGACATGAAGCACACACAGTATGGGTTCTGGGGACAGGAGATGTAGAATATCAAGTGGAGGAAGAAGGGCGCCCAGCAGACCACAAAAACCCCGATCAGGATGGTTAAGGTGATCGCCCCCTTCATGTTGGCACCTTGGCGGATGGCGCCCGTGCCCGGGAGGACGGCGATCCTCTTCATGTGAAGCCTGGCCATGAGGAACATGTGGACATAGAGGGAGGCCATGAGGGCCAGCATGGTGAGGAACACGCTGATGAGGCAGATGATGACCACGCTGCTGTCTGAGTAAATGATGAATAGGACGCCCGCCACCGTGCAGGCTGCCCAGATGCAGCTCAGGGTGACCCCAACCCGCCTCACCGTCATGATGTTATGGTACTGGAGAGCATAAAAGATAGTAAAGTACCTGTCCACTGCGATGGCGAGCAGGCTGCAGATGGACGCGAGCAGGGAGCTACAGATGACCGAGTCGATGACGTTGTCGATGTTCACGGTGAAGCTCTGCGCGTCTGTGTCCGTGCTGTTCAGCAGGGTGATGACGATGGTTTCCGATCCGTTGGAGACGCTCACCAGCATGTCGGCCACGGCCAGGCTGCAGATGAAAAAGTACATGGGGGAATGCAGGTTCTTGTTCTTGGCTATTGCCACGATCACCAGGATATTCTCCAACAAGCTGATGACACCCAGCGTCACAAACACCTCAGGGGAGACGAAAAGTTGCTCGTAGCAGCCTCCATCCGAGTAGCCCTTTCCCAGAGGCTCGCTGGCGTTGCTGCTGTGCAGCCTGTAGGTGCTGAGGTTCCGGAAGTGGAGAGAAGTGTGCATTCTGTGGTGGTGAGTGGCATTCATTCTGGGTCGGTGGGTTCAGATCCCCTCTGAACGGCTTTCAGCTCCTGGGGCCAGGGGGCCTCCGGGATTTTCTCCAGGTCTTTTCCTGCCCCTTTATGAAGCTGAAAGTGGCATGCCTGTTGTGAAGAACTGTCACATGCTCCACAGCTTGAAATGCGAAGTTTTAGTTTCTTTCAGGTACTGCTCTCATCCCAGTCCCTTTAAAATCTTTGGCTTCAAAATGCTTAGTCTCAGTCAAAAGAGCCTGCTGTTTGCTTTTTTTATTTTATTTTTGGCTCTCACTTTCAGTTTAACTATAGTCTTAGGCATGCAGGTCTTTTCAAAATGATTTTCCTAGTAGCTGCCATGCCATTGGGAGACGGTGTGTATGCACATGCCCACAACAGCTGCGTCTCAGAGGCTCCCACCAGCATTGCTCTGAGTGTTAGTAGCTGCTGCTGATTTTATGTGTGTGGAGGGAAAAAAAATGTCCAGAGTGGCTCCTCCTCTGCTTCTGTTTGACCAATCCAAATCCCGTGGAAGACAGATGCCCGATGATGTTCAGGGATACAAACTGCAGGCAGCTCTGAGTCAGATGCAGAAGCTGTGGGATCGGGAAGCCGGCAGGATGTGAAAGAATTAATTTCCCTTTTCAAGTTTCAAGGAAAACAACTTGGTCCCTAGAGGACAGCCTTTGATATCAGAACAAGCCATCTTGAAGCACCCAGGTTTATTACTGCTTAAAACAGAGAGAGACGTGTGTGTGTGTGTGTGTGTGTGTGTGTGTGTGTGTGTGTTTCTGAAATAGATACACTGCTTTTTGGCCAGGATATTGAATCTATTTTCCCTCTAAATTTCTTTGTATTAGGAACTCAGGCAGTAACGCTTCTTTTTAAAATGCCAGAGACCAGAATATTTGAGAATATAGGAGACTGTGCTATGGGTGGAAGAACTGTATAGGTAGTTACAATTTATCAAAGGTTCAAAAAGGGGGTTATTTCTTAGGCACTAATATCTGATATGTTTCCATTGCTAAGTTTCTTTTATTATAACTGGAGAAGTTTTATTCTCATTCACAATCGTTAAAAATCATAAAGCATTAATGTAAACTATATTAACTCTAAACCTAGAAAGTTTATATAACTAGACAACATTCCATTTTTAAAGCTTTACTGAGTAAAATTGATACCCAAAAATTGCACATATATTTTTACATTTTTAATGAGTTTGTACATATGCATATATTCATGATACCATTATCACATCAAGGTAGTAAGCATATTCATCACCTCCAAAAATTGCCTTGTAGTTTTTTTCATTTGTTTTGTGGCACAATACCATGCTAACTATAGGCACCACAGTGTACAGCAGGTCTTAGGACTAATTCATTTTTCTTAACTGAAACTTTACACCCATTGGGCAACAATTCCTTCACATGATTTTGGCAATGACTTGGATTTTATTCCAAAATCATAGGCAACAAAAGGAACAATAAACAAAGGGAATTATATCAACCTAAAAAGCTTCTGCACTGCACAGGAAACAATCAACTGAGTGAAAAGGCAGCCTACAGAATGGGAGAAAATATTTTGCAAACCATATATCTTATTAGGGGTTAATATCCAGAATATGTAAGAGTCTCTTACAACTTAATAACAAAAACATGCACAAATAAACCAATTTATAAGTGGGCAAGGGATTAGAATACAGACACTTTTCCAAAGAAGACATTCAAATGACCACCAGCTATGTGAGAAAGTGCAGATAAAAAAGAAAAAAAAGAAAGAAAGAAGGGGAGAGAGATATATTAGAGAAAATATAGAAACATTGGAAATTTTTTAAAGGCGGCCATTCTACCTCCATAACCGAAGGCTTTGTAAATTAAATCCACACATAACTTGGCAACTTTACTCATTCAAGCCAAGATGAGTGCATGCTAGTTATTGATCAGAGTTTCTAAATGCTTTGTTTAAGCTAAGTTTGAAAGATTGTGGAAAAATTATTTTTCAAATTAATAGTGCCTTTCTCTTGCTATGACTGTTTTTGGTTTTAGTTCTGTATTGTTTGTGGGTACTGATACCAGGGACAATAAGAGAAAATTGTTTCCGGGTTAATTTTTAGTCCTTCATTATTTAGTTGAGAGCTTTATCTTCTTTCCCTTTTTGACAAAGACAATGTGACATATTATTCCTGACCATTGAGCTAAATTAACATCTTTCATCCATTCTTGGAACTGGGTGGGGCCTTATGACTGAAGTCTAGCTAATGGATTGAAATAAATGGTGGGATTTCTGCTCTCTCCTCGTGATTCTGCACATTTTCCCTCTTGGCTGTAGAATATCTTTGCAGCCTCTGTTATAGATAACAGAATCATATCATGGAAAGAGCCATTTGCAATCTAGTCCATCCACTAAATGAACTATGATATGAACAAGCAATTAATGTTACTGTTAAGCTGGTGAAATATTGGTTTTATCTATTACAGCAGCTAGCATTAATTACCTTTACTTTTAAGCTTTTGAATGGAGCTACTTATAAGCAGAAAACTCATGAAAATCCTTGTTTTCCCCTATTTTGGACTTGTGTGAGTAGTGAATTACCTAATAAATAAGCAACCGAGAAGAAATCTATTGAACTGTTTAAGTAACAGTCAACTCTGTATAATCTCCTTGAGCCAACTCTTACTTTGTACTTCTATTTCTCCAGGGGGCATAATTATCCTATTTGGTTAGGCTTAAATTTCAGAATATCTTTGACTTTTCCATCTCTCTCCAAAAATCCCTACATGCAATCTTTTATAAAACACCTTTGATTCTACCTCTGTGCCTGACGCCTCCCTTTCTCCTTGTCAGTCACTTCTCACTCTTCTTCATTGCAGTCAGCTTGTTTGCTAGCAACGCTACATGGATCCACACTAGAGATTGTTTCATGAGTTTTCTGCTACCTCTGCTTGGAATGCTCTTCTCTATATTTATGAAAACAAAATCAACCTTATTTTGTAAAATGTATTAATAGGTATACTATACAGGGGAGGGCAGAAGTAGGTTTGTAGTTAGTTGTATGGCAATGCAGGCTATGATTGTTACAATAGCTTTACTAGCTCAAAAGAATATCACAATGGCCTAGTGCATTTAGATACAATCTTATAAATGCTCAAGAAGAAGACAAATAATATAAATAAGTAAAGACAAACAATAATAAATAAATATATAATAGTACAACAATAAACTCAAGTTCTCACAACTACAAACCTACCTTTGCCTACCCCTCTGTATGTGTGTGTCTGCCTGTGTGTGTATAAAATGATATAATAGGTAAAATTAGTAATTTAAAACAAATCTTGTAGATTTCACAAAAAGGATTTTATTTATAGACATGATCACCCTGAAATCCTAGAATAGCATATGCATTTACGATCTCAAGTTTACCTTTTTGGTGTAGATTTATAAAATTTTGGCTGTCTGGTTAATTATGCTGAAAATATGACAGTTTTATTAATTCCGAGAAGGCATTTTAATTGTCTGTTATAGTTCAGTTCTCTATGAACCAGAAGAAATACAGCCAGCAATGTTAGACACATTAATGGTATTTTTAAAAATTTATTTCAGAATTCTTTTTTAATGTACACAAAACTGAGTTAGATCATAACATAGTTCTTCTCTGAGCAAAATCCCTGTTTTGCATTTTATAACAATAAATATGAAATATTACTAAAGAGAAGCATTTATCAAGCTGTGCTACATGGAAATATTATTTTTTTTAGGCTATGTTAATGTTATTTGCACCACAGATTAAAAGTGAGGGACATCTTTAATACTGTCTACAATAAAATCAACTTTTTAAAAAGGAGATTCCAAGGTCAAATAATTTTGAAAAGTATTGCAAACCCACTGTCTTCTTGAAGTTTCAGAGTTTACATTACCATATAAAGTTTCTGAACTTTTTTACCAGGAAAAAATTCAACATTACTTAATCAATTTACTTCCTAAACTTATTTGAACATAGAAGCTTTCTTCTCCCATTTTTATTTCTCAAGTGCATAGCATTCTCAGTTCTGTGATAGTGCTCATTTAGAACATGGAAATGTGCTCCAAATGTGACTGATATATTGGGGAACATTTTGAGTGTTACACAGATTTTGTGTTTGTTTCTGCACCATTTCCTTCAGGAGAAGCAATGAGGAAAACCACACCCAGCTGGACCCAGACACACACGGCCCACAAAATATACACACACCAAACGTTTCCATCTATCTCAGCTCATTGCATATGTTTTGAAGCACAACCCTCCCCGCCTGAGGCAACATCTCCTGAAAGTTCAGATAATCCTCCCTTTACCACTTCATAAGAACTCTAACTCTCTGAAACTCACTTCCTCAAGCAAACTGTATGCATGTCTTTTTCTAGGTCAAGTGCCATGATTATTATAGGTTTACATATTTTTAACTAGTAAGTAGTATAAAATTGTTCTACTGTTTTTTTTTTTTTTAAATTAGGTTCCTATCTTTCTTTTTTTTATCATGTCACCGATGAAATTCATGGAAGCTGTGTTTCTAACCCCATTTTTTACCGTAAGCCCTACTTGTATCAGATGACATTTGCACAGCACACTGATTTTCAAAATATACATGTCACACTAGCAGAGCAACATGGTTTGGAATATACAGTTTGGGAAACATTCATGTAACGCAAATTATTCTGACTAAAAAATCCTTACTTACTTAAATACAAAGAGCCAAGGAAAGGGAGTTCAGCCTCTCTTTGAGCCAGTTTTATTTACTTATTTTTCATTTAATTTAGTCCATACTATGTATGCTCTCTTTGCCCTCCTCTATCTGCACTCCACCCCGCTGCCCCCAGTTGTAAATGATAAGCAGCCTCACTCTGGAGTCTGCTTTGCAGCGGTGATGACAACTGAATGCAGGAAACCCAGGGGAAGTAAAATCTCAGCAAATTGTTGTCCAAGAAATTGGATCATTTACCTCTTCCTACCTACTCCTTCTCTTTCTTAGAAAGTTTGGT